ATTTTAAATTATAAATAAAACTAACAATATCGCTACTAAACGGGCATTAAAAAAATTAATATATCTTTTAAAGGAACAAAAATAACAAAACAAGACGAACTGGACTGAAAAGATGAAGGTGGGGACTACATTTCCTGAAAGTTTCAGATTTTTATTTTTTCCTGAACATATTGATTTCTGAGGGGAAAATTGACTAATTTTAAGAATTATCAAGTTTCAATAATTTTTTTAATAAAGAAAATGATAGTCTAGAAACTTAAAATAATAGTTACGTTTTCTATTGTATAAGTACTTGATACCTAAAAAAAATCAACTTTCTAGATTTAGCAGAATAGGCACAGGAGCCAGACAAAAATCAAAAAAATTGGCAAATTATCATGAATCTTTAGTGGTTTACCATTCTTTTATGAGATTAACTAATTGGATAATAATAATTTATATCGAAAACACACTTACTGAACAGTAAAACCAAATTAAAATCATTTCAATATTTGTCACAGAAAAAAGTTCTGGCCCACTATAAGAGAGTAAGAAATTGACATGATTTCAGATTTCTAAAGGTTGCCCATTAATAGTAAAGAATCCAAAAACTAAAACGGCAACGGATTTTCATATTTGATACCTAAAAGATCATCCTAAATTTTTTTTATTAAAATAAAAAATCAAGCAGCGCACCCCATTTGGTGTTTTTATTTGGAATGACTCTTCTACAAATCAAGTGTTACTTCTTTTCTGATAACCTAACTGAAGTCTGGAGATCGAGGAGGCCAATATTGAAACTCTGGTTGGCCAGCTTCAGAACCAGAAAAGATTAGAACTTTTTGATGAAACATTAAGTTCTTTTTAACCAATATTAATTACTTATTAACAACAATTTCAGGGTACTGATGGTATTCCAGGACAGGAGGTACTAATTCATTAACCCCTCTAATTTTCCAAGCTTAAAGGACAAGTAGTAACTTTAGTATTGCATGGTCTAACTAACATAAAATAAAATATTACCATGTCTTAAAAAATAACAAAATCAGCAGAATTTAAGACATTGAATACGATTTTTATGTGTTTTGCAATCAATTTTTTTTATTTTAGGGACCCAAAGGCGACAAAGGATATAAAGGTGACTCTGTAAGTACTTCATACAAATAACCTATTTATATGGCAAATGATAAATCTGTCATTTTCAACAGGGTCCATTGGGGAAAAGAGGAAGAAAGGGAGATAAAGGTGATAAAGGGGATCAAGGAGTGCCTGGTTTGGATGCTCCTTGTCCTTTAGGTCCTGATGGACTTCCGTTACCAGGATGCGGTTGGAGACCTCCAAAAGTACGTCAACAATTGCAAAAACTATTATTTATACCACAATAAACACTTTATTGCTTTCCCAATAGCTATTGACCTAGCTAGGTCTTCCTATTGTTTATATATATCGGGTAATCCATGTTAATTGGTAGGTACCGCAAGGTTCCAAACTAGGACCGTTATAGTTTTTACGCGTCACTAACGACTTTGGCGCAAAAAGGCGTGTTGTATATCAATTTTATGGTTTTCGGGGTCGGGGTTTTTTAATTTGATGTTAATTTTAACGAATAGTGCCTGATTTCTGAGTTATTTACCTCCATGGTTCACCTGATATATATACACTCACGTGCAAAATAATCCACACAAATTTTCGATGAATTTCAATCGCAAATAACTTTTTTATTTGATGTCGGATTTAAACGAATATTAAAGAATATTGTAGATACATTAATGGAGAATCGCTCACATTTTAAAAAATACTAAAAAATACACGTACCTACGTTTATAATATACAGGTTTAAACAAAAATATGTTTTTTACCATAAGTTTAAGACACTCTGTAGAGTGGCAAAACCGTATATTGTTCTAAATTAAGTTTAATTTATCAAGTCACATCTATTCTTAACAGTTTTGTTTTTGGTTCACCTCGATATATTTATTTTTGTGGAAAATATGGATTTTTTTAAAAAACATTGGAATTTCCAATATTTTTCTGTATGCAGAACTAAGGTTGCTATGGTACATCCATAGGCTGTGGAGAATGACAGTGACAGTTTTGTTGAATCATCCCATACTTCGACATGTCATATACAGCTTTCAAAAGCTATCAAATTGTTTTTTGCAAATTAATGTTTAAATTTTAAGGTGTCTTCTTACTTTATAAAATGGATAATATCCAGACATATTATGTCTCCGACTGATGTTGCCAGAGCTATTAATTTAATCCAGGATGGATGGTCACAGTATTACGTGGCAAGTATTTTACAAGTCATAAGAAGTAAAGTACAAAGGGCAACATCAGTCGGAGACATTTTTAAAAGTAAGAAGACACCTCAAAATTAACACAAAAAACAATTTGATAGCTTTTGAAAGCTGTATATGACATGTCCAAGTATGGGATGATTCAACAAAACTGTCACTGTCATTCTCCATAGCCTATGGATGGACCATAGCAACCTTAGTTCTTCATACAGGAAAAATATTGGAAATTGCAATGTTTTTAAAAAAAATCCATATTATCCACAAAAATAAATATATCGAGGTGAACCAAAAACAAAACTGTTAAGAATAGATGTGACTTGATAAATAAAACTTAATTTAGAACAATATACGGTTTTGCCACTCTACAGAGTGTCTTAAACTTATGGTAAAAAACATCGTTTTATTTAAACCTGTATATTATAAACGTACGTCTATTTTTTAGTATTTTTTTAAAATGTGAGCGATTGTCCATTAATTTATCTACAATATTCTTTAATATTCGTTTAAATCCGACATCAAATAAAAAAGTTATTTGCGATTGAAATTCATCGAAAATTTGTGTGGATCGATTATTTTGCACGTGAGTGTATATCGTGTTGCTTTCCTACTAACTGCATGGTTGTTTTTATATAATATTTAGGATGTACAGAGGCCAGCACCTTCTCCGGCTTCGATACCAACAGATTTTGATAACGAAGAATCAGTTGATGATAACAATCAGGAAGATTATGAAGAACCTGAGGAGGAATACGAGGAGTATCCTGAGCAAACTAACTCTGCCATATCACCTCAGGGAGTTTAACAATAATAATATTTTTTTGTGTGGCTTCTAACCCGAGTTTGAGTTTAAGTGGTGCGTAACCAATTTTTTTAACTTAATAGTTTTAATGGTTCTGTTTGTAAACGTTTTTAAAAAAATTAAGAAAAAAAAAATCATGTAGTAAAACTGTTTTCTTTTTCAGATGTAAACCTCAAAAACCTGTGAATTCAAAAAACCAAAACGTACCCAGTGATTTGTTAAATTCACAATATAATAGTGTAAATAGTGTTAAACAATAAATAATAAACAATATAAAATGTGTTAGCGTTGAGGTATTCAACGGTAAATATCTAATAAATAATTTTCTATGCATTGTGAAAAAAAAAATAAGAAATTTATTTTATTTATTTATTTATTTAATATCATATAATTTGAAATATATGTTTTATTGGAAAAACGTATACCTAGCTTTATTTTTAAGTTATACAGGGTGTTTCCTGAAATTTTTGAGAAAAAATATTATTGTATTCTCCCACAAAATAAAAAATCTGTCACGTGTTACCCTGTATTTAACACTAAAATTGGTAGTTTTATAGTCTATTGAATTGTTCCTTTAATTTAATTAATAATTTGTACAAACTTCTCATGCCTACATTATTTATTATATTAGTTTAAAATTAAATTATTTACGACAAAGTTTTGTAAAAAAATAGTATTTAGTGAATAAAGAAATTCTCCATTAATTAATTTTGTTTTCCTAAAAATATTTCTTTAAACCAACCCAGATAACATTTATGACTCATTAAAAAATCACTCAGTGATAATAATCGCGTGAGCTCACTAGGACATCAAATGCATTTCTGTGAAATCACCTGGACCTCACCTGGAGCTCATTAGCTGAATCATTGCTGAGCTCATCCTGAGTTCTTGATGAGATCATTTGTGAAATTAATTTTTGCCCTGAACGTCACATTTAAAAAATTGTAGTTTTTTCAATTAAAAAATTTGTTATCATATATTTTTAGTCCTTTAATGTGATATAAGAATTATTGTAATCTCGAATATCTCGGAAACGGTTTATTTTATCGAAGTTTGAGAGGTACACCTTTTTAATAGTAGCCGAACTGAGTAATAGAAAAATTGCATCAAATGGTATAAAAACCTAACCTTAAAGTTTGTATTTGTTTCTGCGACACTGTGTTTACTTGAACAATTGTAATTATGTGTGAATATGTGTTTTGGTAGTAAGTGACTGTTCGCAAAATATCACCTTTCCAAGTCTACCATAGTAGAAGTTATATTAAATAAACTGATATGATAAGTAACACTTCTATCTATCTTTTAAACATACGTAATTATAATTACGTATTACGTATAATTACGTTTTTCTTATTGGAAAAATATTAATTTAGATTTTCGTCTTATATTGACTTGCTTAATCTGCTCCTAAATTTATGCCACTAAGTTTAGGGACACCTTGTATAAATTCAATTCGGGTTGAGAAACATTCATTTTGTTGTACAGGGTGAGCAAAAATACTGATTTTCAAAATTTTTAAATATTTTTTTTGAAGCGCTAAAATAAAGAGATGGTAAAGAGAAATCAAAAAGTCAAATGAAGTTTTTTCATATGAGTTTTTGATACTAAGATATTTGATATTAAAAATTAAAGATATTAGTTTTCAAATTTTAACAAATAATTGTAGACATTGTAGACGTGTCAGTTAAAAGCAACAACATTGAGTCATAATCACAAAATGAGATAGCAGTCAATTTCACTCGAGTTAAGACCTGCATTGATTTTATTTTTAATACCAAATATCTTAGTAACAACAACTCACATAAAAAAACTTTATTTGGCTTTTTGGTTTCTCCTTACTAATGAAGTCATAATTGTTATCTGGGAATAAACATCAAAATACTTTTTTATACTTTAAATATTTTTTATTAATTAACTAACATAAATATTTACAATTATAATACAAATATAACAAATACAGTCTAACATTACAATATAATTTTTAAAAGGTTGACAACAGGAGCTTCAAATCCTAGCGATATGGCAAATGCTACTAAAAACGATAATACCACATTTCCACAGTAAATCACAGCCTAAAATAAAAATAAATTATTAAAAAATGTTGTTAGCTGCATCAACCAAAACACTTACTGCAAACATGTTATGCAGATGCATGGTTCCATCCAAAATGAAACTCGTAAGGCACATGAGAACAGGATGGATTAAGTAGGCGCAGTATGTCAGCCTGCTGAGAGGCAAGAACAAATTGCAACTGAAGAAACAATTCAAAGGACCTCCGTATCCTGAACAGCAGGCAATTGTTATCCAGGCCAATGACAATCCCCAAGCAGTGTGACCTAAAGCAGCCTAAAAAAATTGTAATTTTACTTTCATAACATTTTTAACCTCCCAAATGTAAAGTTGGTGAAATACATTTTTGGTGTACTATTTTGTATTTTTTTAATAAAATTATTAGGATGAACCATAAATGTTGTCTGGGCTTTTTGAAAAATCAGGGGTAGCTTTTTTCAAATATAAAGTAGATAATATAAAGATATATAAGATAATATAAATAAAATAGTAAATGTATTTAAAAAATCATTTTTGGAGTTACTGTACTAATTTTGTTGTTGACACATTTGTATAAAATTAAATTGCTTTAAAATTTTATATTTTAACTGTAATTTTATTTGTTTTTAAAATAAAATTATTAGGATGAACCATATAAAAAGAAGAAAGCATAAATGTATAGGCTATTAGCAGGGTTTTACCATTAAAAAGAGGACAACCATCAATAAAATAGTAAATGTATTTAAAAAATCATTTTTGGAGTTACTGTACTAATTTTGTTGTTGACACATTTGGATAAAATTAAATTGCTTTTCAACTTTATATTTTAATTTTTTTGTTTTTGAAATAAAATTATCAGGATGAACCATAAATGTTGTCTATGCTAAATATTTTTAAGAAATCAGGAGTAGCTTTTTCCAAATATAAAAGGTATAGGCTATTAGCAGGGTTTTACCTTTCAAAAGAGGAGGAACATCAATAAAATAGTAAATGTATTTAAAGAATCATGTTTGGAGTTATTGTATTTATTATCTTGTTAATAAATTTTAATAAAATTAAATTACTTTGATATTTTATGTTGTATTTATGATTTTATTTGTTTTAAAAATAAAATTATCAGGATGAACCATAAATGTTGTCTATGCTAACTATTTATTATTTTATTTAAAAAAATCAGGAGTAGCTTTTTCCAAATATAAAAAGTAGATAGCATACAAAAAATGTATAGGATATTAGCAGGGTTTTACCTTTCAAAAGAGAAGGACCATCAATAAAATAGTAAATGTATTTAAAGAATCATTTTTGGAGTTATTGTATTTATTTTGTTGTCAATAAATTTGAATAAAATTAAATTACTTTGATATTTTATAAAATTATCAGGATGAACCATAAATGTTGTCTAGGCTTTTTGAAAAACCAGGGGTAGCTTTTTTCAAATATAAAAAGTAGATAGCAAAGATAATACTTGTATAATTAAAATTTAGAAAAATCATTTTTGGAGTTACTGAAACAATATTGTTGTTGACATATTTGTATAAAATTAAATTGCTTTAAAATTTTATATTTTAACTGTATTTTTATTTGTTTTTAAAATATAGATAAAATGTATATTTTATTAGCAGGGTTTTACCTTTCAAAAGGGAAAGACCATCAATAAAATAGTAAAAGTATTTAAAAAAATCATTTTTGAAGTTACTGTACTAATTTTGTTCTTGACACATTTGGATAAAATTAAATTGCTTTGAAATTTAATATTTTATTTGTAATTTTATTTGTTTTTAAAATAAAATTATCAGGATGAAGCGTAAATTTTGTCTATACTATCTATTTAAAAAAATCAGGAGTAGTTTTTTCCAAATATAAAAAGTAGATAGCATAGATAAAATGTATATTTTATTAGCAGGGTTTTACCTTTCAAAAGAGGAAGACCATCAATAAAATAGTAAACGTTTTCTATTGTATAAGTACTTGATACCAGAAAAATATCAACTTTCTAGATTTGGCAGATTAGGCACAGGAGCCAGGCAAAAATCACAAAAAATGACAAATTATTACAAATCTTTAGTGGTTTACCATTCTTTTATGAGATGAACTAATTAGATAATAATAATTAATATTGAAAACGTACTTACTAGGCAGTAAAATAAAATTACAATCATTTCAATAATTGCCTGGCAATTATTGCCACAGAAAAAAGTTTTAGCCTCTTATAAAAGAGTAAGAAAATGACACGATTTCAGGTTTCTAAAGGGTGCCGATTAAAAATAAAGCAAATAAAAATTAAAACGGCAACGGTTTTTCATATATGATACCTAAATGATCATCCTCAAATTTTTTCATTAAAATAAAAAATCATGCAGCGCACTTTCAAATTCATTGTTGGTGTTTTCATTTGGATTGACTCATAGATGAAATGTATAGGCTATTAGCAGGGTTTTACCTTTCAAAAGAGGACGACCATCAATAAAATAGTAAATGTATTTAAAGAATCATTTTTCAAGTTACTGTACCTATTTTGTTGTTTTTAAAATTGCATAAAATTAAATTGCTTTGATATTTTATTTATAATATTATTTGTTTTTAAACTAAAATCAGGATAAACCATAAATATCTATATTTGAAAAATCAGGAGTAGCTTTTTCCAAATATAAAAATTAGATAGCAACTTATATGCTATTAGCAGGGGTTTTCCTTTCAAAAGAGGAGGACCATCAATAAAATAGTATTTAGTTTAATTCATGTTAATGCAAGTACACTGAAAAAAATTATTACATTTAAATGTAAAGTTACAGGATTATTACCATATAAATTCCTAATTTTTACGACAAATTGTAAAATTACCTTTATTTTCGTCTAATTTGTATGTATTTCAAGTAAATAAACATTTTTGTTTGTAAAATTACTAATGTTATGTATTAATTAATTAATTATTGATACAACAAGTAAATTTAACGAACTAAATGTAAAAAATACAATTATAACGTCTTACTGCATTATTTCAAATGTAAATATACTTTATTAGTCTTAATATTACAGGTTTAAATGTTTTTTTACATTTGGAGTGTAGTAAAAATCGCAAAATTACATTTCATTTGTAACTGGAGAAGAAGCCTATTGGCTGGGAATTCGCGCATGCTGCCCACGCATCGGCATGTTAATGTTATCATGTATAAATACATTTCAAATAAAAAACATATTACATTAAAAATGTTATTTAAATAAATAAAAAATGTAAATGAGTTACACGTCAATTATGCTATTACATTTTACATGTAAAATAATAATGAAATGGAATATTTCAGTTATCAACAAGGCATCAAAATAACCAATCTCCATTTCCGGAAATTTATATGATTTTTTTTTCAGTGTAGCAAAAAAAAACAATTTATTTGTAAACTTTGCAATCATTGCAAGGTTTCTTCCCATTGGGTATTTACTTACGTAAAAAGCAGAAGCAGGAACGACCAGCCCCTCGCGTCCCAGACCGTAAACCAAACATCCCAGGCACAGCAAGGACAAAGTCCATCCGAGAATCACCGCCACTGGCGACATCTTTACTTTGCAGTCGACTTTAAACATAAAATAACCGGCCACTAAACCTATCAAATAGGGCCCGATGCGCATCCAAGGCTTGTCGTAGAGCTGATCGAAGAGCGCGAACGGTTCCTCAACTCTGGCCACGAAGTTGTACTTCATCGCGATGGTGAAAGTGGTGATCCAGGATGCCACCAACAGAACTGCAATGCTGATGGCCGCGAATTTCAGATGCCTGGGGCCCCTAGACGTATCAAAAATGTGGGTGTTATGATGTTATTTTTTTAATTACACTATTATAAACTGCGCACAACTCAATGTGTCGCGACCAAAAATTTCATCCTTTTTCAAAACGACATAACTTTTTTGTTTCTTGAACGATTTTATTTTGGTTTGGGGTGTCTGCTAGCCCCATTGTCTGGCAATTCATGCTATAGATATGAAGCTCACGGTTCTTCAAGAAAATGTACTACAGGGTGATATGTAAAACAGTGAAAAATTTCAATAACTTCATCCAAGCCCAGTTTGTAAAATAAATATTTTTTTCTCGTTTTTACTTTGAAATAATGAAGTGTTATGTCATAGATGACCGAAGTGTTATGTCTTACCTTGAAACGTTTTTCAAATTTTTTGAATTGGAACCTTAGCAACAAAAATATGATTTTTTTTTTAATGGAGTACATTTGATTCTTTTTTGTAGGCAATACACTCAGCCTTTTTAAGAACAAAAAGATGGTGAAAGATTGTTCCTTGAATAATTCTGAACAAGCGACAAGCAACAAACTTACATTATTTTCAGAGGAACCTATAGGTTCCTCTGAAAATAATGTAAGTAATGTAATTTTGAAAAAGTGGTCTTTGCTTATAAGCAAAGACCACTTTTTCAAAATTACATTTTGGTGAAAATTTTCGAAAACTAAACCTGAACCGATATTTACGTTCGTGACATGTTTTCTTCATAATTTTGACCTGATTGTGATTTAGTTGTCAAATTTAGGTTTCAGATAAAACCAAAATCACCAAGAATCAAAATTCGAAAACAATTCCTGGATGTTAAATCAATAAAATCTGATTGCTGGATTTTACTGTTTTTTTACTGTGTTTTGCATTTTTAGTACGTTATTATCATGTCACTGAATGATCAAATCAAGAATCAAGTGATGAAAATTTAATGCCAATAATTTGGTGTTGGTGGACGACAATGCCCGTCCGCATCAGGCTTATATCGTAAATGAGTATTTAAGGGACCATGATATTGAGAGAATGAATTGGCCACCTTTGTCTCCGGATATGAATTCTATTGAGCATGTGTGGAGCAGGATGAAACTGAAGATGAAAGAAAGGAAAGGACGCATGGAAAATTTGGATGAATTGGTAAATTCGATTCAGGAAGAATGGGAAGCCATACCCCAGGAATTTCTAAGGATCTAGTTCCTTAGAAATTCCTGGGGTATGGCTTCCCAAGCTTGATCTAGGGAATGCTCAGGAGGGTTAACGAATTATTACGTGTTAGGGGAGGGCCAACGAAATATTGAAAGTTATTATTGTTATTGTTTGTTACATTTTTCTGTTGAATTTTGTAGTTTTTATTATAATTATATCTTCGCATAAAATTTTCAAAAATAAAGAAATAAATTTTGTATTTAACTTTATTACCAATTAGGTAGGTACTTATCAGTAATAAGTTATCACTAGTGCGCAATATAAATGTAATTTATGTAACATTATCCTAACCACTCAAACAAAAATGAATCCCCAAATGGCATTGGCAAAGGCATGTTATTGAGACATTTAACAGCCGGGAATTGTGTTCGAATTTTGATTTTTGGTGATTTTGGTTTCATCTAAAACTTAAATTTGACAACTGAATCACATCAGGAGGTCAAAATTATGAAGCAAACATGTCACGAACGTAAATATCGGTTTAGGTTTAGTTTTCGCAAATTTTCTCCAAAATGTCATTTTGAAAAAGTGGTCTTTGCTTAGGTCCCTCTGAAAATAATGGAAGTTTTTTGCTTGTCGCTTGTTCAGAATTATTCAAGGAACAATCTTTCACCATCTTATCTTTTTTATCTTAAAAAGGCTTAGTGTATTGCCTACAAAAAAGCATCAAATGTACTCTTTTGAAAAAAAATCATATTTTTGTTGCTAAGATTCCAATTCGAAAAATTTAAAAAATATTTCAAGGTAAGACATAATACTTTATTATTTCAAAGTAAAAACGAGAAAAAAATATTTTTTTTTACAAACGGGGCTTGGATGAAGTTATTGAAATTTTTCACCGTTTTACATATCACCCTGTAGGAAATTTACTTGAAGAACCGTGAGCTTCATATCTATAGCATGAATTTCCAGAGAATGGGGCTAGCAGACATCACAAACCAAAATAAAATCGTTTAAGAAACAAAAAAGTTATGTCGTTTTGAAAAAGGAGGAAATTTTTGGTCGCGACACATTGACTGGTGCGCAGTTTAGTTCGATTGATTGCGCCCACCTACACAGCAAACGGAAAAATATAGAATTGTATAGGATGACTCTCCGTTTGAATACTAAATCTTAAAGTTTTATCAGAACTGTATTGAATCGTGCTTTGTTTTTATATTTTTCGCCTCTATACCTATGCACGACTATAGTTAAAGTCAAACTCAATGGTGTCTTGCAAGATACATTATTTTGATTTTCTATATTCAACAGAGATGTAGAAACTCGACCCTGTCGAATGGTGCAGTCATTTATGTCTCTAGAAATTATTGAAAAAGGGTTTAGTCCAATGGTGCAGCAACTTCGGATTCCTATTCTCTTCAGAGACATAGAAAGTTTCTCGAATTTTACTGGCAATGATTTTCGTTAATGTCCCTGAGAATTATACAAAACCAGCGCAATGCAATATCGCAACGGTTTCGACTTCTCTTTACTCCACCAAGTTATAGAAACTGGAGTCTCTGTAATACTGTTCTGGTCAATATTTCTGAGAGTATAAAAAGAGGGTGTAATATTGCAAGAAGTTTTGATCTTTTGATGGATGCAAGTAGTTTGAATATTCCCATTTCTGCATATGATTTTGTTTAGTGATGCCGCCGATACGAGAGATTCTCGCCTCTCGTCTCGTCTCGTCTCGTCTCGACGAGACGAGAGGGCGATTTTCTCTCGAAAAAAGGCTCGAGACGAGACGAGAGAATGCCCTCTCTCGCTCGAGAATTTCTCGTTTCTCTCGATCTCTCTCGTTCTCTCGATTATAAAAAACAATTTTTTTTACATAAAAATTATAATTTTACACATAAATGACGATATTTATTTGGACCAATGAGAACAATATTCGCATTTCATAATAAACAAAATTTGTTCCTGGTTAACGGTGTATTATTTTATAACACAACTTAACGTTAACCAATAAAAAATTACTTATAAAATAATAATAATTTTTAAAATTTACCCTGTATAAGCACATCTATGGCACTCCTTATACTATTAAAAAAAATCCGTATGCTTAATAAGCATTGCTTATTCAATAAACTTATCAACAACATGTGGTTTTTGAGGGCCTGATTACAAATTTGATATCCATTTTTTTTTAAATAAAATGGCTGATCCAATATGACGAAAATTCGTCGTTCGGCTTTAATGATTTGGGTAAAATTTCAGATTCAGATATTTATGGGGTCCCTGATTCAGAATTTGATATCCATTAAAAAAAACAAAATTGCGGATTCAAAATGACGGACATGCGCAGTAGGTACAAGATGGTTGGATCTATGTGGAGTAGTTACATCATATATGCGCAGTAGTTTTCAGATGGATGGATCAAATGATTTGATCCATTGAAAACTACTGCGCCGATACAGGGTGTTTCTTTTAACTTGAGACAGCTAAATATCTCGAGAAATACGCATTTCACGGAAAAATGTTTTAAATAAAAGGTTAATGTGACCAAAGGGGACATTATTTGGTGCTACCGCTAGCCACCCCCTACCCCTCCTTAAGGGTGAAACGGGGGGTAACTTTGGAGAGTCAAATGGGATAACCCTTTTTTTACAGATTTTGGTAGTACATAAAAAAATTAATAACTTTTTTCAATTTATCAACACGCTGTAATTCAAAATTTAAGAAAAATGGGTTTCCCTGTAAAATGTATTATTTGAAACGTTTGAAAAACAAAAATTAACATTTAATCAACAATAGTCGGCTCTGAAAACAATTTATAACAAATGTTCGAAATTTCGTCCTTCCATTTCGACACCAAGTGGAGCACCAGCGTCCCTGGTCGGTAAACGTTTGGTGCGGTACCTTTGGCGAACGGCATTAAATGGTGAAAATTACCGGAATTTTCTAGAAAACGATCTGCCAGACTTCTTCCTGTGGGGTTACTTGAAAGAAAAAGTTTACGCTGCAATTCCTACAACTCGGGAGGACATGGTGGAGCCAGAATTCATTACCCGCATTCAAAAATGTGTCGAAATGAAAGGATGACATTTTAAACATTTGTTATAAATTGTTTTCAGAGCCGACTATTGTTGATTTAAGGTTAATTTTTGTTTTTCAAACGTTTCAAATAATACATTTTACAAGGAAAGCCAATTTTCTTAAATTTTGAATTACAGCGCCATCTGTTGATAAATTGAAAAAAGTTTCAAATAAAAGTTATTCTTTTTTTTATGTACTCCCAAAATCTGTAAAAAAATCATTTCATTTGACTTTCTAAAGTTTCCCCCCGTTTCACCCTTAAGGAGGGGTAGGGGGTGGCTAGCGGTAGCACCAAATAATGTCCCCTTTGGTCACATTAACCTTTTATTAAAGACATTTTTCTGTGAAATGCGTATTTCACGAGATATTGAGCTGTCTCAAGTTAAAAGAAACACCTATTATAGGTGTATAATACTAGATGTAACTACTCCACATAGATCCAACCATTTGATTCAAATGCGCAACATTTTCGGCGTAAATAAATAGTCTTACTTTATTAGTGTGGTACACATTTTTTTTTATTTCCAGTTTAAATTTCTATATAAAAAAATATAAACGAATTCGTATTTCATTCCAAATAATTTTTGTATTCATACTTAGGTACTTTTACCACGAGAGAAACGAGACGAGACGAGAGAAAGGCACTCTCGAGCGAGAAAAGAGTATTCTCGACGAGACGAGAGACCCATTTTCTCTCGCTGCACGAGACGAGACGAGAGAAGGACTTTTCTCGTCTCGTCTCGTCTCGCGGCATCACTAATTTTGTTGAAAATAGTTCCTTTCTTTGGTTCCTTTGTCTGATTTTTATTTACCGTAACAAATCAGGTATGTAAAGCACAGAGGATATGATGTAAAGTATATTTATGTATTATATACAGGGTGGCCGATTTATCTGAAGACATTGAAATATTTCGAAAACTACGCATCGGATCAAAAAAAGTTTTGAATAAAATTTGTTCGCCTGGAAGGGGGACATCCAATGATACCAAAGTCGACCCCTCACCACCACCCCATGGGGTGGGGGTGGGGGCAACTTTAATATTCTAAATAGGAACCCCCCATTTTTTATTGCAGATTCGGATTTACTATTAAAAAATAAGTAACTTTTATGGAAAAACTTTTTTTAAATTCCTGATAGATGGCGCTGTAATCGCAAGAAACCCGATTTTTGGGAATATCTTAAAAAATTACACATCGGATCGAAAAAAAGAAAAACTTGTTTAATTTTTGGATTTTATTCGTATATCAATAAGTTAACATCTATTTTTAAAATTACCCAAGAATGGGAAATCCGAATCTGCAATTTTTCAAGATATTCCCAAAAATTGCGATTACAGCGCCATCTATCAGGAATTTAAAAAAAGTTTTTCCATAAAAGTTACTTATTTTTTAATAGTAAATCCGAATCTGCAATAAAAAATGGGGGTTCCTATTTAGAATATTAAAGTTGCCCCCACCTCCACCCCATGGGGTGGTGGTGAGGGGTCGACTTTGGTATCATTGGATGTCCCCCTTCCAGGCGAACAAATTTTATTCAAAACTTTTTTTGATCCGATGCATAGTTTTCGAAATATTTCAATGTCTTCAGATAAATCGGCCACCCTGTATAGTAGCCTACTATTAGTAGGTACCTATATTTGTATTAAAAATTTCAGAGGTTATGTTGAAAAAATGATCGATATGCTATTAAACTTTAAAAATTTATTAATAAGGTCTGTTAGTAGACCCTGCACATCTCCACTGGTAGTTTTATGTTAGTACAGCAATATTTAAATCAGGTTGATCAAAAAGTACACACCAGTGCAGGTTATTGTAGCATCTACGAACAAATGAATGAATGGCCCATTGGCAATTATTCCTTCGGAAAAAATATTCAACACAGCTTAATTAATTAATAAAATGAAAAAAATCACAATCATGTCGTGTACCTATAGTTTTTTTTTTCAAGCATAAAATAATTTTCATATTAATACTAGTTCAAAAGTCAAATTACGAGCTCTATTCTGTGGAGAGTATTGAAACGCTCGAGTGACGAATACAACTCTATACCGTGACGAGGGTTTAGAAAACTGTATTCAAACGTGGCGTCATCCAATACACATCTATATTTTTCCGTTTGCTGTGTATATTACCTAATTTTGGGCTGCTGATTTCAAAAATGCCACTCGTTTTTCTCCAGGATGTCTTGGATTCGAAATAATTGCGTTTTAAAATGCTCTGCCCAATTATCTCAAAATGTACGTTTTTTGTTAATATTTTGATCATTTATTAAATTATTTTGCCTTAAATCTATTTTGGATGTTCAGTATATTTTTGACGTTTTTTGTCAAAAATATACAGGGACTCCATACAAAGTCATCGGTAGATAAATGTCAAATAGAAATTTTGTTTGTTCCATTGTAGCTGTATTATACTATAATACTATAGTAGTATTTTATAAGGGATATTTAATAAAGCACTTTTCTGCAGAGAAGTGCTTTATTAAATACCAAAACTTATATTATAATGCTTTTTTGGTAAAAAGTATAATTTTTTGAAATTTTTGTGTCGTTTTTTAATTTCTACCTATAGGTATAATTAAATTGAAAAGGCAACAAAGTAAATGGGTTTCGGTATAAGCATTATTCTTCGACTATTATTTGATATGTTTTTATTCACATCATGCCTAAAGTACCCAAAAATTTAATCTCGAATCTTATTTATTATAAGTCTTATCAAAAAGTATAAAGGCGCCTTTATCTACTTTATCGTTCAAGCACACTAAAGTTCATCTATTAATTATTAAAATTTAAACTTTAAATTGTATTTTTACCTAAAAAGTGACTTTAAGAACCAAAAATGAAAAAAGAGCAGGAAATGGAAGTGGTAATGGAAGTGGCAGAGAAAGAGAAAGGGGACGAACATTTATGTCGTCGTTGTAAATTTGTTTTGTTTTTGTTGCGGTACCTTAACACAAAAAAAAACCAACGCAATATTTCATTACAAAATTTTATGAGATATACCTACTACTTTAATTTTGCAGGAATATTAAATGGACCTGATATACGACGTTTAATGAAAGATCAAGCATTCAAAAATTCCCTCAAAGTTCATGAACAAGCTCGTGCACGAGCTTGTCGCATATGGCAGTGTTGAAGCTGTCATTGAAAATGTTCTTGGTTCATATCGGGCCTAAAATTGGCGCCAATTCATTAAAAAAATGCTCTCCGTTTTGTAAAGAGTTAGCGTTAATATGTCATTTAAAATACATTTTCTTTTTTTTCATCCTGATAAATTTGCCGAACTGATGAACATGGAGAACGATTTCACCAAGTAACTGCAAATCTAGAGCATTGGTAGATATCTATGGGTATAGCGGAAAGAAGTTGGATTCATTGCTAGGAGACATTTGCTGGAATTTGCACCAAAAGATGTACGACGATGATGAGGATTAAGCACAATAATACTATAATCCAATTTGATATTTGATCCGATTTAATATATTATGCAATGCATTACAATTTGAGGGCCTAATTTGGATAAAAAATACTGAAACTTGTTTACTTTGTTGCCCTTTCAGTTTAATAATTAAAATAAACGACAAAAAATGTTAAATAATGGTTGTTTTTTTACATAAAATACCTACATTAAAATTTTAGTTTTAGTATTTAAAATGTCATATTGTTAAGATAAATATGATTTGCCGTATACCAATTACTTTAGTACATTCAAGATAAATTGAAGCCAAAATAATTTAATAAATAATTAAAATACCAACAAAAAACACATTTTGAGGTGATTGAGCAGAGCATTTTATTACGAAATTATTTTAAATCCTAGACGTCCTAGAGCAAAACAAATGACATTTTTGAAATCAGCGGCCCAAAATTAGTTAAACTAAGCTAGAGTACTTAATGTTAGGAAAAAAAAGTTTGTAAAACTATCATACCCTAGCGAAAATAAAGCGTGCATGAAAAGTGTGCAATAAGTGTGTATTTGGAGTGCAAGTCTTTTTAACAATGTGCATACACGCTACTTTGTGGTAATTTCACACTTTTTGAAATAATTAAGTTTTTTCACTCTTTATTTCATTGACTTCACGCTTTTTATTTGTCATATGTCACGCTTATATTACATTATATTTTAGCACATTGTTTGCACAGTGTTAGTACATTGTTTAAAGACATTTTGCAAAGCTTCAGTATCTTACGCATGTCACATTTTATACACACTGTTAGCACGCTTTAATATTTATCATTTATGACGCTTATATTACACCTTTTTATAGCACATTATTTGAACAGTTTTAGCGATCACTCAACAGTTTAAGCACATTTTAGATATATCTCGCTTGTGTTGGGGTACAACATTTATTTAAAAGGTGAGGTAGATTCCATCTAATGTATCGCTTCTCGGCCTATTGCTAAGATCAAAGCAATCCCCTTTGTGGAGTTGACAGTGCAGGTATTTTTCTTAATAAAATACAGTATGTAGGACCTTCATTGTGGGTATTTTTTTTTTTTTTTTTGAAAAAAATATTAATTTGATTAATATTATTATAAGGATATTTATATTTCACCTATATGTAAATTTAAAAGACTATAGGTCACCAAAAAGAATCTGTTTTTGTAATAGGCACACAGGTGGCAAGAAACAGTGTGCAAACAATGTGAAAAATCAAAAGGAGTTCCCTTTAGAACATTGTCCAGTGATTATTCACACTTTTAAATTTTTGGTTTTGCACATTGTTTCATGTTCCATTTCCCACCCTCCGCACATCATTTTTTTAAAAGATTGCACATTGTTGGCACATTGTTCTCAAATAATTTTGCACACTTTTTGCACATTTCATTTTCGCCAGGGTAGTGTTATTTTTAACTCACCTCACAGCTATTAGAAGCAAGGCGGACGCGATGACGAAAAACTGCGTATCGTTGGCGATGTACCATGACCAAAGCATGCAGAACTCGTGTTGGGGGTAAAAATTGTTGATATACAAAGCGTTCCTCCACCAAAAATTGCTGCAGCTGATGTGATCAATGATTGCCGGTGAAAATACCGAATAGTTGTGCAGGTATCTCAAGATTACTTCGTTGACACCAAGAACGAATAAATATGGAGGCGTTAGCCGTAAGAATCTATAGACTATCATTATAGAGAATTTTCCCAGGTTTGTGTTGAATATTTGAAGGGAATTTTCTTCTTTGTTTGTCTTATCTTTGCGGGAATCCGTCCTGAAGTACGTTAGGGTCAATAGAAAGCCACTGTAAAAAATTATATTACAATTTGCTCTGAAAGATTAAAACTTTTGAACTTTCACCTGATAATCAGGAGTAGATTTTACAATTATACAAATTATATAGCTTAGTTAAAATGTATAGGCTATTATCAGGGTTTTATCTTTTAAAAGAGGAAGACCATCAATAAAATAGTGAATTTATTTAAAAAATCATTTTTGAAATTACTCTACTTATATTGTTGTTAATAAATTTGAAATAAATTAAATTACTTTGACATTTTGTATTTTATTTATGATTTTATTTATTTTTAAGATAAAATTATCAGTTTGAACCCTAAATTTTGTCTATGCTATCTATTTTTTTAAAATCAGGAGTAGCTTTTTCCAAATATAAAATGTAGATGGGTTATTTTCAAATTTCTTCTACATTTGCTGTCCCCCAACTTTAATATTTTATAAAAAATTGAGTTTAACGCCATTTGGAACTCCAATAAGCAACTACACTCACAGGCAAAATAATCGATCCACACAACACAGTGGTCCTCGACTAGCCATGGGTTTTATGAAAATGGCGCCAAAAAATAGGTTCAGATATTAGTAGGCATGTATATCAAGGTTACAAAAACGCTGCAAGTCAAATCATAGCTGATCATAAAAATTTGTTTTTGTGATACTTTTATTTATGTTTACATTTGACCATTGTTTTAAATTAATTTCAATAATTGGCACATAATTGGAGGTCACAAAAGTTGACATATAGGTTCATTGATAAGTTGGCACTGAAATATTTTATTAACTTGTCAGTTGTCAGCCTAGGTTTGGTCTATAGACTATATAGTAACTGACAACCCTATAGGGTTGTCAGTTACTGTTTGCCTTAAAACACAAATCTAATAATTTTTGTCGGTTTTATTGTTACTTTTATGATAAAATGAACCCTATTGAAATTGTAAGCAACCATGAGCATAACAGCATGTGGGCAGAAAATTATTATGGGTAATACAAAATCGTCGAAATTTTTAATTACAGAATCCTAAGTTCCCAATTTCAATTTCCATCTGCAATACTTGTCGCCATGGTATCCCAAAATTTAAAAGCCAATTATTATGTAAAATTGTCCCCTGAATCCGAAAATACCGTCAAAAATTATGAAAGTTTAGCAGTTTTTGAAATATAGTCAATTCCATATTAAATGGAAAATTGACTATATCTCAAAAACTGTTCTACTTTTGAAGACATTTTCGGATTCAGGAGACAATTTTACATAAGAATTGGTTGTTAAATTTTGGGATTTCATGGTTAACCATGGTTCAAGTGAAAAAGCCACTAATAACTAAATTAGTCATTTTTGACTAATTCCTTTTTAGAGAGTCTCTTAAATTGTCATTTTGGAATATATTACTCAATCTTTGCAGTTTCTTCAAGAAGGTGTACTTGGTTTATGGTCAGAGCAAGCAGGAGAATCTATTCATAGAGAGTTTGTCAAGTACTGGAACCGATATAAAATAAATCTCTTACAAGATCCTTCCTATCAAATCCAGTTAAAAAAAGGTGTTGTTGAGTTCTCCTCTAGACATTTGTAACAAATATTGAGTATATGTGAATTTGTTTTGGTTAATATCCTTTTTTCACTGTAAAAATAAAAAGTACTTTTTTAAAATTGTAGGAATCTAAAGGCTATGTAAAAATGCGAAATTGTTACATCCATAAAATAAGTTAATGATCAGCTACGATTTTACTTGATGAATTTTTGCAATGCTTATAGATATACCTATCAAAATCCGAACTCATTTTTTGGCGCCATTTTCATACAACCCATGGCTAGTCGAGGACCACTGTGACAAATTTTCGATGAATTTCAATCGCAAATAACTTTTATATTTGATGTCAGATTTAAACGAATATTAAAGAATATATTAGATAAATTAATGGACATTTTAAAAAATTACTAAAAAAATAGACGTAGTTTTATAATAAAGGTTTAAACAAAAATATATTTTTTACCATAAGTTTAAGACACTCTGTAGAGTGGCAAAACCGTATATTGTTTTAAATTAAGTTTTAATTATCAAGTCATATCTATTTTTAACAGTTTTGTTTTTGGTTCACCTTGATATATTTATTTATGTGGAAAATATGGTTTTTTTAAAAAAACATTGCAATTTCCAATATTTTCTTGTATGAAGAACTAAGGTTGCTATGGTCCATCCATAGCCTATGGAGGATGACAGTGACAGTTTTGTTGAATCATTCCATACTTGGACATGTCATACACGGCTTTCAAAAGCTATCAAATTGTTTTTTGCAAATTAATGTTTAAATTTTGAGGTGTCTTCTTACTTTAAAAAATGGATATGTCTCCGACTGATGTTGCAAGAGCCATTAATTTAATCCAGGATGGACGGTCACAGTATTACTTGGCAAGTGTTTTAAACGTCACAAGAAGTAAAGTACAAAGGGCAACATCAGTCGGAGACATTTTTAAAAGTAAGAAGACACCTCAAAATTAACACATTAATTTACAAAAAACAATTTGATAGCTTTTGAAAGCTGTATTTGACATGTCCAAGTATGGGATGATTCAACAAAACTGTCACTGTCATCCTCCATAGGCTATGGATGGACCACAGACCTACAGTAGGTCTGTGGGATTGACCATAGCAACCTTAATTCTTCATACAGAAAAAATATTGGAAATTGCAATGTTTTTTTAAAAAAATCCATATTTTCCACAAAAATAAATATATCAATGTGAACCAAAAACAAAACTGTTAAAAATAGATCTGACTTGATAATTAAAACTTAATTAAGAACAATATACGGTTTTGCCACTCTACAGAGTGTCTTAAACTTATGGTAAAAAACATCTTTTTGTTTAAACCTGTATATTATAAACGTAGGTGTATTTTTTATTAATTTTTTAAAATGTGAGCGATTCTCCATTAATGTATCTACAAAATTCTGTAATATTTGTTTAAATCCGAAATCAAATAAAAAAGTTATTTGCCATTGAAATTCATCGAAAATTTGTGTGGATCGATTATTTTCCTGTGAGTGTATTAGCAAAATTGTAAAATTTTAAATTTAGCTATAAAAAAATTTAAACTTTCCCCAACAGTACAGAAAAGTAGCTGTCCCACTTGCAATAATATTTACTTATTGTTAATTAAACACAACATCCCCCTTTTTTTATATAGTCACTAGAATATATTCCAAATATTACAGAAAAAGTCCATTTTTGGTAATATTTAAAAATACAAGTGGTTAAAATAACCCCTAAAGTTTGTCCCTTAATTTTGGTACCCTAGGTCACATTTCCTGGGTCACAGCTTTTATAAATGAGCTTTTGAATTAAGCGCACATTTTTTGGTGCTGCCCCCTTGCGGCAATGTATTTGGTAACAAATTTTAGTAGAAAATGGTGTTTTGAACTATCTTGAAGCCACAACACGTTTTTTTGTATTTTTATACTATCAAAACTGTGCATTCTCCTATGTCACAGTAATAAAAAGTAGTAAAGGTACCAGTTGGACTTTGTTTGATTCTCAAAAGAAATTATCCTAGTAAAGGTTTTAAGGGCAAAAATACAAATTTTTATCTTTAAAACTGTAAAGAGGTTATGGGAAAAGCATTTTTATATACGTTTTGTTAGTAAATTTATGACCCAGGGGACCATTTTTTTTTTCTACTTTAAGAGCTTATTTAAAAAAAATCCAACAGCCCACTTAGATGTTAAATAACACCCCTAAATAAACAAAATTTGGAAAAACACAGGTTTGTAGATTATGTTTTTGTTTTTACTTTTTCTTCTTTAAATGTACAAGAATTTCAAGAATTTTGAAAATGACCCAGATAGCATAGATCAAATGTTTAGGCTATTATCAGGGTTTTACCTTTTAAAAGAGAAGGACCATTAATAAAATAGTAAATGTATTTAAAAAATTATTTTTGAAATTACTCTACTTATTGTGTTGTAAATAAATTTGAAATAAATTAAGTTACTTTGATATTTCGTATTTTATTCCTCATTTTATTTATTTTTAAGATAAAATTATTAGGATGAACCATACATTCTGTTTATGCTATCTATTTTTGAAAAATCAGGAGTATAATAAAAATATAACTTTTAGACTTTCACCTGATAAAGAAAAACGTGTCTACTGAAAAAGTAGCATTGGAGATGGTTTGGTACATGAAGGTTCTTTCTGTAAGTATTCGCATGGATTTATTATCAGCTATGCTAAATATTTCCAAGTAGGTATGCACCAATATTATCCATGCAATGGAGAAAAACCTAATTCCATGAATACATCTGACGGAATCTTTTGTACCGCTTACTGAAATTATTTTACCCCCATTTTTTACAGCTGAAAAGGCCAAAAGTAGCCTTAAGGGAAGACCTAAAACCGTAATTATTAGAAATTCATTTTGTATTTTAAATTAAAATAAAATTACTTTGTCTTTCGTTCTTCTTGTGATCATCCTTACTGAGGACCATTTCCTTGCTTCCATGTTTTGTAGCTGCACTATTGTTGTTATTATTATTATTTTCAGACTCAGCGTCATCTTTGACTTTGTTGGATTTTTTAGAATAAATAAGTATATCAACCAAAGACGCTACGGTTATTATTGCAACCACAACAATGGTAACACCTCTAAAAATGTATAATTATTTAGAACAATAGGTTTATATTATTCACTAATGAATTTGTGTTATTTTATTTAATATAAAACAGCACGCTTTCCTTCACACATTTCTTTGTTAAACCACCATAAACCTAATGATTTTTATGTAATGATATATTCAAAAATGAAAAAGAACAGACAAAAATACTACAGGGACTATTTTAACTTTAAAATACAATGCTTCACAACCAAATAAGTATCCAGATATTATCTACCACTTAAGTATACATATAATGTATAGTGTTTATGCCTTTAAAAGCCAAGGCACCTCGTTTACCGCATTACAGTTATGCAATAGAAAGTTCACCGGTATTTCTCTTTAAGTCTACGTCGGTTTTAGATTATTTATTTTAATCGAAAGTTTATTATTTATTCGCAATTCAGTCAAGGACTTTGGATACCAAGTCACAAAAAATTACGAAAATCGCCAAAAGACAAAAAAAGAATAAAAAACTATAGAAATCACTAAAAAAGAGAAGTCCGAAAATTACGAAAAGAATAAAAAATTGTAAAATTATAAAAAACTTGTAAAAAAATGCAACTGATAAAAAAGGAAGTAAAAACTTAAAAAATCAATAAAAAGAACTAAATGAAAAAAAATAAAAAAAATCAAAATACTTAGTACAACTTCACCAAAACTCAAAATAATTAAAAAACATGAAAATCAGTAAAAAAAAATCTGAAAATCATGAAAAATTATAACCGGAAATTTTTTTGAAAATCATGCAAAATAAAAAAAAAGTTCACAAAAAATTACAAAAATAATCGCCAAAAGACAAAATCATTGATAAAAATTAAAAACTATTAAAATCACTAAAAAAAGGAAAATTATAAAATCATAAAAACAATAAAAAATTTAAAACCATAGAGCCATTCCACGCGTAACGGATACTACACTCTAAGAAAATATATTGTAATCCCTAACAATACAGTTTTGTTATGCAAAATATGGTTCATTTAATTATATCTTATGGTTGTAATAACAATATACCTAAAATTAGTTTTGTTATATGTACTTTAATCATTTTGTTATAAAAATTTAGTAAAGTTAGATATTTGATTAGGCTATTACAACCATCATGTACTGCTAAACTGTTAGTACTACACTAGATGGTTAAAATTATAAGATTATCTGGTTACAATAACAATATAATGTTGTCACACATTATTAACAATATGTCGTTGTAGTTTTTACTATACAGAAAGTTTATACATATCATACGTATAGTATATTTAACCATATAAAGGGTTATAAGGTATTTGCATATGATTATTATAACTAAATAAATTATTGTTTTGTGCAACAACAAAAATATAGTTAAAATGACAATAAAACTGTTACAATATAAACATGGTTAACATAACAGTAAATATGGCTGTGCCTATACTAATCAGAATGTTTAGTAAAAGTTACTATATATTTGATTAAGATAACCATTGTTTTTTCTCAGTGTACAGTTGCTGTGCCTATACTAATCAGAATGTTTAGTAAAAGTTACTATATATTTGATTAAGATAACCATTGTTTTTTCTCAGTGTACAGTTGCCGTGTTTTTATTTACAAAATAATATTGTTCTATTATATTACCAATGTAAAATTTTTATAAATAGTTCTAAACTAAAGCTGTTTAACAAGGTTTTTATTTGGCAAAATTAGGTATCGTGATTGACTGTTTAATTCCTTAAAAATTAATAATTTAAAGCGTATACGTTATAACGGGCGGGACTATTGCAAAGTCCCGACCGTTACGCTTTAAATTATTAGTTTTTAAGGAATTAAAGAGTCAACCACGATACCTAATTTTGCCAAATAAAAACCTTGTTAAACAGCTTTAGTTTAGAACTATTTATAAAAATTTGACATTGGTAATATAATAGAACAATATTATTTTGTAAATAAAAACACGGCAACTGTAGTATCCGTTACGCGTGGAATGTAGTTATTTGTATATATACAAAAAATTAGAAAAGCCCTAATAAACTATACAACCAATAAAAAACTTTGAAAATAAGTAAAAAAAAATAGAAAATCATAAAAAATTTAAAACAGAATTTATTTGGAAAATCATAAAAAAATTCAAGTCAAAAAATGCAAAAATATTCGCCAAAAGACAAAATCTAATTAGGGTTTTTAATTTTTTTTTTACTTTTACAATTTTTTATTGTTTTCATGATTTTCTAATTTTCATTTTTTAGTGATTTTTATAGTTTTTAATTTTTATTAATGATTTTGTCTTTTGGCGAATATTTATGATTAATACTACCAATAAAAAAGTTAAATCCAAAAAACAGAAAATCAGAAAATCATTTACAAAAATAAGAATTTTTAGAAAATGTTTGTAAAAATTGAAAATATCAACTATCACTAAAAATTACAAAAATAATGGCAAAAAGACAAAATCATTAAAAAAATTAAAAATTATAAAAATCACTAAAAACAATTAAAAATAGTGAAATTATAAAAAAAAATGTAAAAAAATTAAGAAAAACCATGAAAATCATTTAAAAAAATCCGAAAATAATGAAAAATTTTAAAACTAAAAATTACAAAAATAATCGCCAAAAGAAAATTAGAAAAAACAATTTTTTTTTTAAATTTATAAAAACCCCCAACCAATAAAAAAAGAAGTAAAAACTATGAAAATTAGTCAAAAAAATCATGAAAAATTTTAAAACTGGAAAAAATCTTGGAAAACATAAAATAAAAAAAAGTTTAAAATAGCAAGTCACAAAAAATTACAAAAATAATCGCCAAAAGCATTTAAAATTATAAAAATCACTGAAAACCATCAAAAATTGGGAATTTAGAAAAACTATGAAAATCATTTAAACAAAATCTGAAAATCATGACAAATTTTAGAACTGGAAAAAATCTTGTGAGAGAAATGGAAAAACTAAAAATCAAGTCACAAAAATTTACAAAAATAATGGAAAAAATCATTAAAAACTATGGAAAAAATCATGAAAAATTTTAAAATTGAAAAAAAAACTTTGAAAAGCATGAAAATAAAAAAAACAAAATATCAATTCACAAAAAATTACAAAATAATCACTAAAAAAGAAAATTCAGAAAATAATAAAAACAATAAAAAATTGTAAAATTATAAAAAATTTAGAAAAGCCCTAATAAACTATACAACCAATAAGAAAGTAAAGTAATGACTTTGAAAATGAGTAAAAAAAAATATAAAACTTAAAAACTGGAAAAAATCTTAAAAAACATAAAAAATAAAAAAAAAGTCACAAAAAATTAAAAAAACTATAACAATCACTAAAAAAGAGAAATTATAGAAATAAATAGAAAATTATGAAAAAATAAAAAACTGTGAATTAGTCAAAAAAATCAGAAAATCATGAAAAAATTTAAAACGGAAAATGTTTGTTCTAAAAAAATAAAACTATGAATTAATTAAAAACTATAAGAATCACTAACAAAGGAAAATCAGAAAACGATGAAAACAATAAAAAAATGTGAAATTATAACAAAATTTAAAAAAATATTGAAAAACCCTTATAAACTATACAACCAATAAAAAAGAATTAAAAACTAAATCTAAAATCATGTTTTTTTTTTTGGAAATCATAAAAATTCCAAAAATAATCGCCAAAAGACAAAATCATTAAAAGGATTAAAAACTATAAAAATCACTAAAAAAGAAAATCAGAAATTTTGAAATTATAAAAAAATTGTAAAAAATTAAGAAAAACCCTAATAATATGTATGCAACCAATAAAAAAATTAGAATATGATAAAATATTTTAAAATTGGGAAAAATTTTGGAAACCCTAAAAATAAAAAATATTAAAAGAATTAAACACCCTTGCATTTTATTTGTTGTCTCTATAGAGATAGCTGTTTAACCTAAATACAGGGTGTTTTACTTTGGTAAGCAAATTTTTCTTCTATCACGTTTGGATTAGAGCTACTGTTTTTAATAAAAAATCATGAATTACGTTAAAATTCTTAGAGTTTTGTTTACTTACCCCAAAATATGCACTTTTGTATCAGTCCACAGCGAGTAACTTCCTGGTACAGGCCTTACTCCGACAACTGTCAAAGATGCTCCAAAATTTTGTTCTTGAGTTAAAAGTGTTCTTATCTCAGCTATATCACAGGATTTTGGAATACATTGACCGACGTTTAGTTGCCTTGTCTAAAAAAATTACCAATAACCATTAAATAAATAATTATTAATAAATTTTAAGGGTAAACTTTACGTAATTATTTTTATTAGGTTCTGAAAAAAATGCTGCTTAAAATGTTATATGTTAACATACAAGTTTGATACATTTTAAATTACGTAACGTGTTCATAAATATTTCGTAATTAAATGCATCTGGTGCTTTGCGTTGTTGGCTAATAATTTCTTTTTTTATTTTGTGTTCAAATATTTGAAAGAGAAATTCATTCAACATACAGCTGGAACTTAAAATGAGAACGTTGATTAAGTAATTTTCAAACCTCGCCTGGGTATTTAACACATAAACGTGTGATATATCATACGATTAGTCAATTTCTTTTTAATAATGACGAATGTTTTTTTTTGCTACAAGGTGGCCAATAACATTTTTAAGTGCTGAATTTTTAGTCTAAATTTTGCTCAAGTTTAAGAGTATACAATTTAAAAATCATGTAATTATCTACTTATTGGAGTAGATAAAGTATAGTATTATACTCGAGATTAAGCGCATTATTAATTTAAAGGAAATATATGTATACATACATAAATAAATAAGGATATTTAAAGACTACCGAAATCACGGTTACATAACAAACTTCGAACCATAAAAATCTCATCATAAGAGGAGAGAGTGGAATGACTGCTTATATTACGTCTGGTATCTGCAAGAAATGCGTACAGAATGGTAAATATTTTATGGTATTAATAACACTGGTCACCAGCCAAAATGTGCATTTTTGATGCCAATGTTTTTTTCTTATCACAATTTTTATCATAGCCACTTACATAGGAGAAACCGGAAGAACATTAAATACCCGAATAAAAGAACACATAAAATTTCGGAAATCCTTTAGAAAAAACCACTTTAAAGTGGTGTCCTGTTTAACAAAGAAAATAACGCAAACATTTTACACATGCAGGAAAAAAAATCACCAATTAACTCTGTTAGAAGCATATAAAATTTACGGGTGACGTTCACAATATCGAAATTCATTATATCGAATTCAAAATATCGAACACTTTTTATCGAAAATCAAAATATCGAAAATACAAAATGTCGAAAATCAAAATATCGAAAATTAAAATGTCGAAAATGATAATATCGAAATTTTATTTAATCGAATTTTCAATTTATCGAAAATAAAATATCGACGTTCATAATATCGAAATTCACTTTATCGAATTCAAAAACTCGTGACTTTTTATCGAAAATCAAAATATCGAAAATACAAAATGTCGAAAATTAAAATGTCGAAAATACAAAATACTAAACCATATTTTCTTATTTTGAATTTGATATTTTGTTTAAATATTTCAATTAATCGACATATTATTTTAATCCGAAGTGTATATGTACAGAGGCGCCTCTGATATAGAAATGTACTCAAACTCAACAACACAACCCAACCGACCCCGCCCCATTGCCCCCCCCCCCCGCCCCATTGAGCAAAAAACCCAACTAAAATGGGCTAATTTATGTAATTAAAAAGTGTTTTATTTTTATCGTAACATGAATTTGCCCATTTTAGTTGGGTTTTTTGCTCAATGGGGCGGGGGGGGGCCAATGGGGCGGGGTCGGTTGGGTTGTGTTGTTGAGTTTGAGTACATTTCTATAAAACGCGCATCTCTAGGAGCCAGGGAGCCAAGATAATTCGGTGCATAACCGTAACTTTATCTACAGAGGCGCCTCTGTACATATACACTTCGATTTTAATCATACATTTTAATTTTCGATATTTTTAAATCGATATTTTAATTTTCGAAATTTTAATTATTCGACATTTTCAAATCGACATTTTAATTTTCGATATTATCATTTTCGACATTTTAATTTTCGAAATTTTAATTATTCGACATTTTCAAATCGACATTTTAATTTTCGATATTATCATTTTCGACATTTTAATTTTCGATATTTTGATTTTCGACATTTTGTATTTTCGATATTTTGATTTTCGATAAAAAGTGTTCGATATTTTGAATTCGATAAAGTGAATTTCGATATTATGAACGTCACCCAAAATTTACAAACAAACTAAAAACAACAATATTCATTGCCTAAACGAACAAGCTAATCTATTTTATACTAAAGGTGGAACAATGTCACAAACCTAATAATAATATATATCCCCCCTATAGGGGTGATTCTACCAATTCCCATTCATCAATACTGTGTCGTCAGTTCCATGTTCGATGTTTCAGTTATCTTTTTTTCGCAAACTTCAATTTAAATTCTGCTTGCGCAGAACTTGTTTATTTAATGTCATTATAAACTCATATAAATTTGGTGTGGGTCCCATATCTAATAATTGAGATATCGGTATACCCAAAATCCACCAGCCGCCACTGATGTGTGGTATTATTTGATTTTAAGATATTTAATGTATAATATGCTCAAAGTTGCAATAAATTTTATATTTTCCAATAAATTATGTATTTGATTATACTCGCACTTCCCTTGCATTCAAATTTAGAAAACACAGATATTTCAGAAACTGTTTGAAAAAGTGACTGGCCCGGTCTGGAACAGTATATTTATTATATTATCTATGTTCTCATAACGAAATACTGTTTAATTTTCTCCGAAAACTATATAAACAAAATGAGGTCAAAAGTTGCCCAACTTTTGTAGAATCACCCATAACCTAATAGTTCTATATTTAATCTAACATAACAATAACGTGCAAGTCTAATTTTAATTAAGTGTTTTTACAGGGTGTTAGGTAATTAATGTAATATATTAAAATGGGTAGTTCCTTAGGGCCCATAAAGAAGAACCTGAAACTTTTTTTCTAAAGCCTAAAAATAAGGACGCCACTTATCGACTAGAAATTTTAGGCCAATCTGGTTGCCTAATTTAATTTATTATGTTATGGTTGGTAACAACCAGCGTTTCCAGATTCTGTCAAAAAAGTTACCAATTTTGTTTAAATTTAGCTTAAGTACAAAAATGACAAAATCAACAATGCAAATTGTTAATTTTGCGTTTTTATTTTTGTAATGAGGGTCGGTTCTTACAAAAAACAAAATATATCTACTATTAAGCAGTTTTATTCTGCTTAATGAATTTAACAATAAAACAATTTTTATGGATAGATAGGTAATTAATAATTCGTGGTCAGTAACTACAGTTACAACCATGGTTGTGTATTTTAAATAAGTCTGATTCCCTTCTCGAAAAAAAATCACAACGTTCATTTTCGATAAATTAAGACTTACCACTGGCGTCAATTTTTTGTTGATGTTGATCCTCACTTTGGCAACGTAAAAATATGTGGGGAACGGAGGCACTGCCGAGTTTGTTTCGGCATTGGCCAGCTCCGTGCACGCCACCTGAGACCCTAGCCAATAGTCGTTGCCGTAGAAAAATCCCGACGAATAGCGACCCGATGAGTCGTACACTGAAAAAAATTAAACTATTTAGAATTTGAAAATAAGTTGAACAAATGTTTGTTGGAAATTAAATGATCTACAAAAAAGTTTTCCTCAGTTTTTTCGATAAATATAAGCGTTTCAAAGATAATTAACATAAAGTATATCCCGTATGGTCTAGTGGTAAGGCTTTAAATATGACAAGGGTGATATAGGTGATTCTACAAAAGTTGGACAACTTGATGTCATCAGTCAATAGAGTCAGTGCCGGATTAAGAGTTTTGAGGCCCTGGGGCCGAATTTGGTGGGGGCCCTCAATATTTCTAAAAATTTTGACACTTGGGAAATTAAAACTCATGGTAAATATTTAAGCTAGAGGAACTTTACGTCATATTGTATTATCCTTGAATCATTTATTATTTAATAAACCATATCAATTTTAATAAAATCGGCCAAAGCGTTTTTAAGCTATAAATAAAAAGATCATTTTTTTTAAACGAAACACCCTGTATCTCGATAATGAAGCATTTTCGGACACGTGTTTATAGGAACTTTTTTCATATTTTGATGAGAGGAATTTCCCCTGAGCTTTTGTCACCATAAGTCTGAATCACCCTGTATATTTTGAATAATTCGAACAAAACCTTATTATATATTTTACTCAAGTAAAATATAAATTGATCTATGTTTTGTTTGTACTTATAATACTTTTAATTGAAAAAAAGTGCATCAAAAGTCGTATTATTTGTCTGTTTTTCATACAAAATCAAACAATAAAACAACCTTTTGTCTAAAGAAGAGCACGAAACAGTATTTCGGAAACACCGAAAAATATTCCACAACACTCCAATGTACCAATAAAAATCTGGGAAAAAAACTAACTTTAATATTGAACTATAAGTAATTGACTTTTTGCCTGTATTTACAACAACGTTACGACAAGCACAAAGGAGCAACTGCTTAAAATTGTTATGACTATAGACTATATAAAAACGTCTTCGCGCGCCAAAACTTTGAGTGTGATAATTAACATTCTGATTTGCAAGCGGATAAGCGATAAAAAATCCGCGAAAAATTAGAGTTAGATCTACGAAAAATTAATTGAAAATTACAGGATTCGCGCGGTTAACCGACCCAATTTTTTGTTTTTTCGACAATTTTTTTCATATTCGTTTCATTAAAAAGCTACATATTGCATTGGTAGGGGCCCCTAAATGGTGGGGGCCCTGGGGCCGTGGCCCCATGCTAAATCCGGACCTGAATAGAGTAGATATTTTAATATTTTTTGTAAATATTTTAGTATATTACAAAAGATCCAGGTTTTTTTAAATTGTCCACCCAATTTTAATGTAATTTTCAAAAACACGTTTGTAGAAAAACTTAATAAATATTCAAAACATCAGTACCTTGGCGTGTCACAACTCCTGAATCAAATATTTGAGAGATTTTATTTTAAAATATATTCAATTTATCTTAAATTTTTCAATTTCACTACAAACTATAAAACATTAAATAATGTATTTTTCATATTTTATCATAGATTCGAATAATAGCAATTTTTAAAAAAATGATAATCATTGTACTCTTTTACCCGTCAGTTCTGTGTCCAATGTTAAAATTCAAAATTCCTGCGAAATATTGAAGTTTAAACTCAAGTGTTGGTAAAAAATTACCTACAGAGCCCGCCCTTTGCACGACAGTCATCTTGAAAACAATGCAAGCGGCGAAGTTGTGGTGAATGCACGTATAGTTCCAGTCAAAATTTCAGTACTGTGTTCTATGTTCGATGATTCGGTTTATCTTTTTTTCGCAAACTTCAATTTAAATTCTGCTTGCGCAGAACTTGTTTATTTAATGTCATTATAATCTTATATAAATTTGGTGTGGGTTCCGTATCTAATAATTGAGATATCGGTATACCGAAAATCCACCAGCCGCCACTAATGTGTGGTATTATTTGATTTTAAGATATTTAATGTATAATGTGTTCAAAGTTGCAATAAATCTTATATTTTCCAATAAATTATGTATTTAATTAGTACCCTGGCATACTCGTCACTTCCCTTGCATTCAAATTTAGAAAACACAGATATTTCAGAAACTGTTTGAAAAAGTGACTGGCCCGGTCTGGAACAGTATATTTATTATATTATCTATGTTGTCATAACAAAATACTGTTTAATTTTCTCCGAAAACTATATAAACAAAATGAGGTAAAAAGTTGCCCAACTTTTGTAGAATCACCCATATAAATGTTGTAATTTTATTAAAAATAAGTAGCGGAATAAAAATGTTTTGTATAAACAAAATGAATTTTGTAAGAATTGTGCAAATTAATAATTAAATAACTAATGTTAATTCGACTTCCTGTATCTGTTAGATCATCGCGTTATTCTGCGTTTAAGTGAAATCAGGTCTCTAGAAGAAATCAATTTTGCAAACAGGATTACCCGAGTTAAATAATAGGCGCAAGCGAGGATGAACACTATTTCAATTACTTATAGGAAATGCTGAATTAACTAATTGCCTACAGGTGTTTCAAAAGATGTTCCTGAATGATTTTAGAGATCCGACTGGCCGCCGAGAAGTCCCGATTTGACACCTATCGAGTGCTTTTATGTTTACTGTCAATGTATGTACATATGTTCCTTATGCAGCAAAATTGTTGGCAATTTCAAGGCCGCTAAAAATTTATTGTGTCCTTAGAATAATGCCATTCTAACATTGTGAAATTAATTTGTTATGTATGTGGAGCAGCGTTAAAACGCGTGGCACGTATATATAGATAGATATTTATAGACAATAACTTATTGTAGTTAATAGTACATTAAACGTGTATAGCATAAAACAACTTTTCAAATCATGGTTTAAATAAAAGGTTTAACATTTCAAACTATTTAATTGTCTTTGTATAACACTTCTAATAACTGCAATTGAAAGCTATCCAGCGTATAATTATAATTAAAAAAGGAACATGCAAAACGCCTTTAGTTCCATGAAGTATAATCATTTTGTTAATATCAATGAAAAACTCAATATTTTTCCATTCTTTTAACACAATGTGTCATCTTTAGATTTAAGAATGAGTTGTATATTCAGCAAATTACTAAAAATCACAAAGCTAGGCAACCCACTGCACAGACTCAAACGGCGGCCATTTTTATGTTGTTTATAATTCGTGTGCTTTGGATTTGTGTTGTTTATACAGATTAAAAAGAGTTCTTAAAGTGCTAAGGTCAACCATTTTACTCCTCTTTTGTAAAAAATAAACCTTATTCAAACTGTTAACCGTTTTAACCAATTGGTTGTTAAACCATTAACATTTCTTAAATGTTAGTATGAACTAAAAACCTTAAAGTAAACTCAAAGGGTATTTTTTAGTATAATATTACTAACTAGTTAAATATTTGGTTTATTTATAGTAGGTTATATGAGTTAGTTATTTTGTTAGACGTATTTTGGTTTAGTTTAACTTTTGATAATACTTTTTGACTTTTTTGGCTTTGGTTAATTTGGTTATATTTTTTTAACCAACAAGTTATATTTTACCAAATATATTTTAACTCGCTGGTAAATTAACGTTAATTAATAAACTGGTTAAAAAAATGATGAATTTGCAGTTTTTATTGTTACCTGCATAATTAAATTAGTCTCAATAAAGCTTTATATATAAGCCCATAGGTTGTGAGTATTGGAAGAAATCGTTTTTTTAAGAGATAATAATTAATTAGCTTTGTGATCAAATCAAAGCTACTAATGTCAGAATGACTTGACAGTGACTTTTTTACATTTTGGTCAAAGTAGGTTGTTTGTTTGGTTGCCACGGGCATGATACATTGTTAGCAAATGTTTAAATAAATTTTGACACTTGTCAGTTTCCCTGCAGAAAAGGGAAGCTTTTTTGAAGAAAAAAACGTATAGAAGATGAAAATTACGTTCCTGAGGATATCCTTACGGAAGCGGAAGAACCAGCGATGCAGATTTTGCCAGAAAAGTCCCGAGATGCTTACGACAAGGAGTTCAAAATGTTTGAGTCTTAGATGAATTTACGGAAGGTACCGATGAAAATGTTCTATTGGTTAATTTTTTACATTTGCTTCGCTCGACTATTAACCTTTATAAAAAAAATCGACATTTCGAAATATAGCAAACTAACGAGCTTTTTGAAAAGCAAATCACAGGGATACAAGCCAAAGAAGTCCAAGACATTAGAACGACATAAAATAGAGAAGATTTTGAACGAAGCTCCCGACTACGAGTACCTGTTGATGAATCTGGCTTTGATAATGGGGATTAGCGGTGCTTGTAGATGCGATGAGTTGGTCAATTCGAAAATAGAAAATATTCAAGACAAAGGAAAATATTTTCACGTAGTTTTGCCAGACACTAAAACCAAGAAATTGAGAAGTTCCACCATACTTGAAGAAGGATTTCCAGCCAACCCGATCAATTTGTGTAAAAAGTACATGTCTTTGAGACCAAAGAATACTAGTTCTAGCCGCTTTTTTGTTTTTTACAAAAATGGAAGGTGTACCGCCAGTGTGTGGGAATACATACGTTGTTGAAGGTACCTTCAAGAATTGCAATGTTTTTGAAATTGGAGGAACCAGCGCACTGCCTGAGAATGTCTTCGGCGACTCTTTTGGCCAATGCACGGGCTAACATGACTACTTTGAAGCGTCACGGAGGATGGAAGTCCTCGACGGTAGCAGAAGGATACCTAGAAGAATCGGTGCATAACAAAATACAAATTGCAGAAAAATACAAGGTTCTAATGCGTAGGCGTCTTCCAGCACTACCAGACTTCAAATTCGAATAAACCGTTAGCGTTTTCCTTTGATGTCAATATCAATGTGAATTCTGCATGTAATAGTAATAAATAAATATAATACTACTTTAAATATGAACGTGAGATATATTCCAATACTCACTAGTTAGTTATGGATTATAACACACTAGTGTGTTATTTGATAGTTTACTTGTCTAAATTGACATTAATAATGACAGTCATAACTGTCATGTGTTGGATAAAGTAATTTAAACAAACCAATAATGAAACATTAAGGGCCGGTTTTTCAATTAGGGTTTAAACCTTGGTTCAGACAACTTAGATCAGTTAATGAACTCAGTTCACAGTCAAATGAGTTTTTCAATGTCGACTCAACAGCAGTTCTGTTGAACTTAGATCAGCGGTGTCAACGTTAAGTTGGTACAATTTAGTAGTAGTTAACACTGTCATTTTGACAAAAGGATTTTGTGTTTACATTTGGAGTTTTGTTTATCCGTGCTGTTTTAAAAAGTTATAATCTGTGCGAAAGGGTGCTTTAAAACAATTTACTATTGTTAAACAACAATAATTATTATTTATTATCGATAAAAATCGTGCTGCCAACTTAACCTCTTTTAAGGAGGAATAATTTGTATGTATTTCGTTTTATAGTATAAAATGAATTTGTCGTTTTTTGTTACATGTGATTAATTTTACTAAAATCTATTCAGTAATTATTTTTATAACTAACCTATTGGTCGGATTTGTAATAACTGGTCTAATTAAATCCACTATCCTACGTATACGTATACAAAAGGTTTGGAAAACCGAAATTTGGCAAAAAATTCATCATTAATCCACCTTTCAAAATGATTCGGTCTTACCCGTGGCCTGTGCACACGAATTTGAATATTATTTAGGAATTCACCAATTTCTTCATCATCCTCACTAACTACCTCAAACATATCCATTGGTTTATTATAACAGAAGATCACAAAACAAGAAATAAACAACGTAATACACAATAAAAGAAGAGAAAAATTAAGTTATGTCAAGTTGAACTTCGTTTAAACGGCCAACATTGACGGTTCATCTTTTGATTTAGTTTAAACCAAATTCAAGCTTGAACTTTGATTGAAAAACGGCATATTTTGTTTGAACCAAGTTCAAATGCTGAACCAAGTTTAAACTATGATTGAAAAACCGGCCCTAAGTATTTCTTATTTGTTAAAGCGCAATTAAAATATTAAAAGTAAACCTTCTTTTTAACCATGGTTAAATAGAAGGTATCTTCTTGCAAGAAGTTAAATTTAATTATTATTATTTAATTTTACCATAATAATTATTGATTTCTCCACTTATTACAAAATAACGTTAATTTAAGGTTAATTTAACGTTGCAACGTAATACAATATTACTTAAATGAATTAACCCGGCGTAACGTAAATTTAACGTTAATTTAACCAGTTGTGCTACTTAGGGGTAGAATAGCGTTTAGTTTTAACAAAAGAGGAGTAAAAAGATTGTTCTTAGCATTGAGATAGAACTTTAAAAAACTGTTTCTTGATCATTTTAGAAAAACGGAAAATCTAAGAAAAACCCTGCTATTTACATTAGGGTGATTCATTTCCGCAAAGTTTTTGTTTTCTTCGGTGCTCAAGCAAAATATTAATCTGCATGTAGAAAAAAAAATTCTCAACAAGTTTGAGCTCTTAATATAAACTTTAAGTACTTACTATTTAAATTTAAAGTTTTACCGTTTAAAATGCATGTAAAAAATATATATTTTTTTTCAAATTTCTAATGCTTACCCACCTTTGACAATATTGCAAATCGGTTTAATACACCTTATGGGGAATTTCACGCTCTTTAAAATTGCTTTTGAGTTTTTTTTGTAACTCGCATTGGTTCACCAGTAGGAGTCGTCAAAGGACAGTTTTTGAAAAAAATCGTTTTTTTTTAATTTTTTCTAACAAACCGCAAAAAGTAGGGAGAAAAAAGGGCTGAATCATAAAAAAAGTTATCCAACCAATATTTAATGAATTTACAGCCATTTTTATAACTGAAAACGTAAGAAATTGATAATTACCAACTCATAATGTTATTTAGATTGATTTTTTCTATTTATTATCATTATATTTCCCTACACTAAGAAGTTTTTTAAAATTATTGATTTCTCACTTATAATGAATATGAAAACAACAGATAAATTCATAAAAAAACAATAAGAAAATTGTAACGTGGATTTTGCAATTTTTCAACATTTCTGTCATATAGCAAAAAAATATAAATGACGATTATTTAATTTTTTAAAGCGAAATTTGAAATATGTTATATAACCTTCTGTATATTCCGATTAAAGTTTTGTTGTTTTTTTATGAATTTATGTGTTGTTTTCATATTCATTATGAGTGAGAAATCATAATAATTTTAAAAAAGTTCTTAGTGTAGGGAAATATAATGATAATAAATAGAAAAAATCAATCTAAATAACATTATGGGTTGGTATTTATCAATTTCTTACGTTTTCAGTTATAAAAATGGCAGTTAATTCATTAAATATTGGTTGGATAACTTTTTTTTATGAATCAGCCCTTTTTTCTCACTACTTTTGGCGATTTGCTCGAAAAAATAAAAAAAAAACGATTTTTTTCAAAAACTGTCCTTTGACGACTCCTACTGGTGAACCAATGCGAGTTACAAAAAAAAACTCAAAAGCAATTTTAAAGAGCGTGAAATTCCCCATAAGGTGTATTAAACCGATTTGCAATATTGTCAAAAGTGGGTAAGCATTAGAAATTTGAAAAAAAAATATTTATTTTTTACATGCATTTTAAACGGTAAAACTTTAAATTTAAATAGTAAGTGCTTAAAATTAATATTAAGAGCTCAAAGTTGGTGAGAATGTTTTTTCCTATATGCAGATTAATATTTTGCTTGAGCACTGAAAAAAAACAAAAACTTTGCGAAAATGAATCACCCTACTGACTATACGAGTAGTTTGTTAAACAATAAAATCGCAATCTGGTTGAATCAATTAGTATCAGGTAAATCAATATTTTGATATTGCTAAACCGCGGCAGGGAATTGGAGCATAGTAATAATTACATAAGCAACTGGTCGCACTGGGGGCTAAAACGCGATTTTATGACCTCGACATGCTGTACGACAATAAAAAACGTCTTGGACAGTATTTTATTGTAGTATTTTTAAGAATAACTATCAAATGAAACCTAATATGACAATCTAGACCATGGTGCGACAGTATGCAATTAGTATCTTAATCGCGGACAGTGAGAGAAAGTTTTTACTGACTTTTCGTCGCCCAGGAAGTCCCGTTTAAGAGTTCCAAGATGTAAACGGTCATCTCTTCCCGACACTTCCCTTCGTCCAGAGCCTTCAAATTCTTCTGCCACTTCAGGTGATCATAGAGGCCGTGCAACCAGTCCATTTCGGCGGTCCGTAGGTTCTCCCCTGCAACAGACCCATGAAGATCAGAGGGTTCCACCGGGAACTGTATACCGTTAGACAGATACGACAAATCTGAGGAGTTGTAGTTCTGGTTGTCCGACAGAGAATTCGCACCGAACACCGCGAGCATCAGCACTAGCGCACTCGGCGTCGCGAAGCCCATCATGTCACTAATTTATCACTAATTAATCACTAACTAACTACAGGATTCTGCTGTTGCTCTTGTTGGGCATCTTATGTTGACTATGCACCGGTACTCATCGTCTTCGCGTTGCGTGTAGCTGGTGCAACTGTTATCAGAGGTTTGACTTTCGATTTCTTTGAATCGTCTGGCTGCAGCCGTGGCTGGTCGGTGCTTACGCACAGTGGGGCGAGTCCCCCGTTGCAAGAAGTTTATCCAACAACCAGTGGCGGCAGTTTTTAGTTTGTTAATCTTATTTTGTAAAATTTTAACATAATTTTTTGTATAATTATAATTATTTTAACAAAGGAAAATATGTTACCGAAAGTTTTGTAAAGGTAGTATACAATTATGTATGCATTTTGTTAATTTCAAAGGTTACAGATTATTTTGTTAATGTTTAACAAATTAGGTATTTGGTTAAAAAAGTACTCAAAACATTTCCCACTGACAATACGTATCAACAAGTTCAACTGACTTCAGCGTCTGCAACTTGCAACTGCAACTTACTTTATTCTAATTCGTAACGAGTTCGTAACAACTGTTCAGAGTGTTTATAATATTTTACCAGAAATGTTATTCAGATTCCTTATACCTATTTAACGAGTGTGCGAAGTATCCGAAAAAAGATGCCATTGCTGGTTTACAAACTGAAATAAGGGGATAAAGAGAACTATTTTTAAAATTTTTCCTAAATAAATTTTTTTTAAAATAGGTGTAGGTAGTTTTTTTAACAAAAAATAAAATTTATGTATGTATACAGGGTGGTCCAGGATTAATCTGAAAAATTTTAATGATCGAAAGAGCCTGAAAAAACAATAAAAACAAACCCAAAAACATTTTTCAAAAATGTCGGAAACGGTTTATTTTATCGAAGTTTGAGAGGTACACCTTTTTAATGGTAGATGAACTGTGTAATCGAAAAATTGTATCAAATGTTATAAAAACCTAACCTCAAAGTTTGTATGGGACAATAAGCTTAAAGCAACCCCCGTTTCTACGACACTGTGTTCACTCAAACAATTGAAATTATGTGTGAATATGTGTTTTGGTAGTAAGTGACTGTTCGCAAAATATCACCTTTCCAAGACTACCAGAGTAGAAGTTATATTAAAAAAACTGATACGATAGGTAACACTTTATCACCCTGTATCTTGGAAACATAAGTAATTAGGAAAAATATTTATTTAGGTTTTCGTCTTATTTTGACTTGCTTAATCTGCTCCTAAATTTATGCCACTAAGTTTAGGGACACCTTGTGTAATTATTTTAACAAAGGAAAATATGTTACTGAAAGTTTTATAAAGGTACACTAAAAGAACAGTTTATTTACAATTAATGATGTTGTTTAACAATAAATAAAGGATTTATTCGATAATGGCGGAATAAATATTTATTTTTTAAAAACAAATAATTTATTAGTATTACTTTTATATACTTTTTTTGTGGTGAATAAATATTTATTTATTATAAACAAATACTTTATATGTGAGAAATAAAATTGCATTAAAAACAACCAAACCCTTATTTATTATAAATATGCCATTTTAATAAGTAGTTAATAATTTATTAAAAATTAACAAACAGATATTTTTAAAAAACAAATTGTTATTTAAAGTGACAAACATCTTATTTATTATAAATAAACTAAATTGATCATAAATTATTTATTTTTTATAAATTAGTTAATTTATAATTAATAAATTTTATTATTAATAATTAATAATTAGCATATAACTGTATAAAAAATATGTTTATATTTGCAATAAATATGGCATATCCTTTATAATTTCACAAGAGAGCATATATATAGTAAGATTTAATACCTGAGGTATTTAAAAAACATAAATAAACTTAAAAAAGAAAGATATGTGGTATAATAATAATATAACCTTTAAAACTATATTCATAGCATCGTCACAGGCGATATCTTCTAATACTTTAAAAGAATCTACTCCATTATATAAAAAAATTTGTTAATAATAAATATAACCTGATTTTCTTTAAAGTCATCTGATTAATAATTAATAAGTGAATGTATAGTAAATATACTTTATTTATTATTATTAACACGTGGAAACATCTTGAAACAAACTGCGACAAAATTCAGCCAATACTTAACGAAATAACAAGGCATCAATTATTATTTTTTTTAATAACTAATAAACTTACCTTTAAAAGTATTAGTCAGATCTTCTAAACCGTATAACAGTTTAGAATTTATTATGTCCATCTCAGCATCCATGGATTAAACATGCATGTTTAAGGACCTATTTTTGGTTTGTTAGCATTCAACACCATAGAAAAATATTATTATGTACTTACACAATCACTGCAACAGTTTATGAGTATGAGTATGAGTATGAGTATGGGAACGTATGGCAGGCCCCAGATATATTGTCATCCACTAATCTCCCGAGGTTATTTTACCCCCTTTCCGTTCTCCTGCGTATCCCGCCAAATCACAGCATTACCTGTGTTTGTTGGATCCGAAGTTTTTACGCCGGCTGGTAGTTCCCCCCTATAGGGGTTGTGTATGACAGTGTCAAAGGTTAAGGCCGCTCCCGGAATTTTTGTCAAACGGGTCGGGCCATACGTCCAGTTTAGGAAGGGTTTTTGGAGGACATTGAACTGACCCAAAACTAAGTACAATCCGGAATCCTCCGCAACCTAGGCCTTAGTAGTATCCCCATTCAATTGGTATTCGTGAATGGGGGTGGGTATGTTAGTTTTTTGCTTACTCCGGCTACCAACCTTGTATATTCTTTATTTATTTTATTGCTAAATTAGTGTTTATACCGTTTTCATTTATTTATATCTTTGCCTTCTTACTTTTTTTTCAAATTAATTAAAAATATAAATATTAATATACAAAATAGACAAAGCCGGTCCTGTGGTGTATCGCATCAAAATTTGAAACACGGCCCCAATGTCAGGCGTGCAACGCATGCCTCAATAGATGGCCTACCACTTCATTTTCACGTGGGCGCTTTGCCCATTTACTTTCCCCATCCTTCAAGCTTTGCTTGTGTGAGCTTATGTGTATATTATATAATATATATAATACAATAATATAATATTGCGACGCACCCACTTGATTTCCCTTCACACACGCACGCTGCCCTCTGCAATGATCAATTGTTGCCTGGTTTCCTGTTAAATTCGTATCTATATAAATTCATTATAAATATCAATTAGTCAATACCAATACTAATACCAAATAATACAAATAATCAATACCAATATCAACCAATCAATCAATATTAATACTAATATCAATATCTATAATGCCAATATCAACATCAACATTAATAATAATAATAAAGACATATTAGTAAGACCATTCTCAAAATTTTTGGAAAAAATTAAATATCTTAAAAACTGTTAAAAATGAAAAAATCAAATTTTAGTAATTCTAGAATTTTACGTAGAATTTAAAAATGCAATAATATTTTTATGATTCTCTTAAAAAAAAAAGTTAATATAATTTTAAAATAGTTTACATTGCCTTATAATTGCTATACAAATTTCAAATCGATATCTTTTTCCGTTCTCAATAAACTTCTAATGAATAAGTTAGTTAAATCACCCGGTACATCTGGAATTTTAAAATATATTTATATGGATTGATAAAAATATACATGGGTGATTCTACAAAAGTTGGGCAACTTTTTACCTCATTTTGTTTATATAGTTTTTGGAGAAAATTAAACATTATTTTGAGGTTATGAGAACATAACATTCTAAATTTTAATGCAAGGGAAGTGACGAGTATACCAGGGTACCAATTAAATACAGAATTTATTGGAAACTATAAGATTTATTGCAACTTTGAGCATATTATACATTAAATATCTTAAAATCAAATAATACCACGCATCAGTGGTGGCTGGTGGATTTTGGGTATACCGATATCTCAATTATTAGATATGGGACCCACACCAAATTTATATGGGTTTATAATAAACAAGTTCTGCGCAAACAGAATTTAAATTGAAGTTTGCAAAAAAAATATAACCGAAACATCGAACATGGAACTGACCACACAGTACTGATGAATGGGATACAAATTTGAGATTATAATTCGGAATTAAGTATTTTACTGATATTTTTTATTAGTGAATGCTACTTATCAACAAATCACATATAGCCTTATATAAATTACAATGAAATATATATACGTAAAAAAATAACTACTCACCACAGTACTGAAATTTTGACTGGAACTATAAGTGCATTCACCACAACTTCGCCGCTTGCATTGTTTTCAAGATGACTGTCGTGCAAAGTGCGGGCTCTGTAGGTAATTTTTTACCAACACTTGAGTTAAAACGAGGACTTGACGTTTAAACTTCAATATTTCGCAGGAATTTTAAATTTTAACGTTGGACAAAGAACTGACGGGTAAAAGTGAGTACAAAGATTATCAATTTTTTAAAAATTGCTTTTATTCGAATCTATGATAAAATATGAAAAATACATTATTTGTAGTGAAATTAAAAAATTTTAGATAAATTAAATATATTTTAAAATAAAATCACTCAAATATTTGATTCAGGAGTTGTGACACGCCAAGGTACTGATGTTTTGAATATTTATTAAGTTTTTCTACAAACGTGCTTTTGAAAAAATACATTAAAATTGGGTGGACAAGTTAAAAAAACCTGGATCTTTTGTAATATACTAAAATATTTACAAAAAATATTAAAATACCTACTCTATTGACTGATGACATCAAGTTGTTCAACTTTTCTAGAATCACCCACATATTAAACAAAAAAAATATCAGAGCAATCGGAATACCCACCCCCTGAACTTCAATTGTTTTTGATGCGGCCTGATAAAATACAATGCCAACAGAATAAACTTTGTTTATAAATACTTCCACGTATAGGTTCGTGAATATTGCCTCGCCCTGCCTCTTATCGTTAAATATTGATGAAATTTGTGGCGTTGGACGACTGCCCAATATCTGTCTTTTTTCAGTTTCGTTTCGTCTTAAAAAAAGAAATATTTAACTAAAGGTATTTTGAAAACCTAACCTTAATTTAAACTCAATACGACTTTTTGCTTAATAAAAACTGGTGTCTAGTCTATGTACCCCCGTGCAGCACAATAATAAAATAATAATACTTTTTAT